AAAAGGGAAAATCGCACATTTGACCCCCCAATTATCCACCATATTGAAATCTCAAACCCGTGTTTCAGGTTTTCTAAATCTCACCCCAAGTTGTCCGAATAATTATAAATGTCCCCTTTGCCGTTATAAATATTGTAAACTCCGTCTGTTTTTGATTTTTTCCAGGGTTATAATTGTCATTTCCCAATCCTTTTCGTTTAAAGCGCTATTTCGAAGCCCCCAATTTCCTCCTAGGGAACGAAAGAGATGTGGACATTCCGGACTGGTGTGAAGCCCGGAGAGCTGATTTGGATGGCCCCGATAGCTTCCAAGTACTGGATGCCGATGCACTTGTCGTCCTGGGCTCCGCTATCGAAGATTTTTCCGTCAGAGGAACGGTGATTGGAGAAGGGCGGGTGGGAGAACTTGGTGGGCTCGGCAGGGACAGAGTCAAGATGCGAATTGAAGAGGATAAAGGGAAGCGAAGGGTTGGAGCCGGGCCAGGTGAGTAGAAGTAGGGGTTTGTTTGGGGGTTGGGAAGTGAAATACAGAAGTTGGGATCGGAGGCCGGGGATGGAGCCGGCGAAGGCGGTGAGGAAATTGACAGCGGAGGGGTAGTCAGGGTTGGGATGGGGAAATGACAATGTTAACCCTGAAAAAAATGAAAAAAAGACGGAGTTTACAATATTTATAACGGCAGGGGTGACATTTATAACTATTCGGATAACTCGGGGGTGAAATTTAGAAAACCTGAAACACGGGTTTGGTATTTCAATATGGTGGATAATTGGGGGGTCAAATGTGTGATTTTCCCTAGATAAAAAGATGGCGTCGTTGAATAATGAAAAAAATAATTAAAATACTTCAAACTTTGAAGGGGTGTGAGGTAAACACTGTAAACTTTCATATATATGTAATTTAAATACCCAAAATTTTATATAAAAAGTTATTTAAGCACCATGATCATACACTATTTCTTTCAAAAATGTAAATTTATGGTGTCAATTACATAATTTAAAATAACAAATTAAAAGAGTTGAAATTATATACATTGGGGGTAATATTACTTATTTAACGATGGAAGTTAAGAATTTTAATTGTGTCTTTATGAATACTACAATATCTTAATTTATGCAATTAACACCATAAATTTACATTTTTGAAAGAAATTAAACAATACTTGACTATGATGCTAAAATAACCTTTTATATAAAATTTGGTGTATCTAAATTACATATGCAAGTTTGAAGTGTTTACTTCATATTCCTTCAAAGTGTGGGATATTTTAATTATTTTACCCTTGAATAATTGCAATTTAAATTTACTCATTCTTAAAGTACTACATGTATAACACATCTACTATTGAATACAACAATTGAAATCCGTGGAAAGTGAAATTATTGCCCTAACACAGTAACACATCAATTAAATATTAATATTTGATGCATTCATTGTATCAATATTACTTTCTTTTTAAGATTTTTATGAAATCTTCAATTTTCATTGCTTTAGTCAAATTGATTTTGACCCCCTAGGACTAAAATTTATCAATGTGTGGGCCTCTGGGAATTGAAGTAGTTCCCTGGCCACTACTTCATTGACTTTCGATACTTGCATTGATAGCTGGAGGATCATACTACGTATTAATTTATCCAGCTAGATTTTGTATAAACCATTACCTTTTTTACTAAATGCAAATATGCAGTAATTAAGAATGGAAAAAAGGTTGCCAAAAAAAGAGTGGAAAAAGAAATTCAAATAATAAATGGCATTTGCATAATTACATTCTCAATTTTAAAGATACTTTCTTTGAAGGAAGTACATTTATTTATTAATAATAATGAAGGTGACAAGTGACACAACAAACCAATAGCTCAAAGCAACTTCGGGGTGAGATATAGAACTGGACAGCCTCTGAGAACCCGTCAAATTTGCTAACCCTGCATCATGGTAGCTAATCTAAGAGTATCGTTGTACTTGCTACTAAAATAGATAAACATAAAACTAGAGTTAATAAAAAGAAAATATCAAATAGAATCAAAAGTTCTGGTTTTTCCAGCCACCAGTAAGGGAGAAGAGGTTTGATCAGCAACCTCCAAAGACTGCGTTCCGATTTTATCAACCATCAGGAAAGGATTTAAAGATACTTTTTAAATTGCAGTTGTTGAAAAAGGTTATTTTAACTTTTCTCATATTTCCTTGGCACGATATGTTTGGCACAACTAGCTAAACAGATACTTTTATGAGCTTTTTAATAACAGTTAGCTTGTAGTGACTGAAAAGATCTTAAAAGGAAAAGGTTGTAGCTGTTTGATAAAAAACTGACTGTTTGTTTTAGTTTTGTTTGGTATAACAAGACATTGTGACCAATTAATACTAAAAGTTAATGACTTTCTCGAGATGCTATCCACTGTAGCATTTAAAAGATGATCTTTAATTTTGTAAAAAACTCTTAAAAATGTTCCTACAAAACATACAACCAGAAGCTTTTAGAGACTTTTTAAACAGTACAAAAGCTAGTAGGCAGCTTATGTCAACCAAACATGTACATATAGGTCAGTTTATGATAATTGGTTAATGACAACGTAATTCTTTAACTATGCCTATGTTTGACAAGCATAAGTCTCTATCTTCTATCTTTTGTACTTTTCAAAAAGTCTCTAAAAGCTTATAGTTGTATGTTTGCCATGACAATTTTTAAGAGCTTTTCAAAAATTAAAAGATCTTTTTTGAGATGCTACATGGAGTAGCATCTGAGAAAAGCCCGTGACTTTTAGTATTAATTAGTCATTTTTACTAACAGTCACCTTTTTACCAAACAGCTACCATCTTTTCTTTTTAAGATCTTTCACTCACTAAAAGCTAACTGTTATTAAAAAGCTCACAAAAGTATCTTTTCAGCTAGTTGTGTCAAACATACCCTATATGTAAGTTAATATTAACAATTAAAATTTGCATATTCACTAACTACACTATACGAACTGCAAACACTGAATTTGAGTAGGCTAAAGGGTCAAATAGGCCCCTGAACCGGTCCTTTAAGCTCAATTCAGTCTCTGAACTAAAAAAAGGTCCAATTCACACCCCCAATCGGCAAAAAGGGTTCAAATTTCATTTTTTAAAGTTAAGGAACCGGTAAAAAAAGTCCAATTCGCACCCCTAAACTATTAAAAAGCGTCAAAATTGCAATAAATCGAAAATAAAAAACAGAAACAATTAAAAAATTAAAAAAATTATCAGTTGTTTACACGTAAAAAATGAATTTTGAACCATTTTTTGTTGGTTCGGGGTGTGAATTGAACCTTTTTTAGGTCAGAGACTGAATTGAGCTTACACGACCAGTACAGAGACCTATTTGACCTTTTAGCCATTTGAGTATGATAAAAGTTACTAAATACAGAGTACATAGTACTCCGTAAAAAATATGATAAGAGGGTTAGTTTGTTAAATAAATGAAAGAGTTAAATTGGCCGTATAAATAGTGTCCAAAAACATTAATGGTAACTAATGGATTAGGTTATGATAAAAAATTGGGAGAACTTAAAATTAAACATTATAAACAAACATTAATTAATAGGGTTACTAAAACATAATCATCTTCCAAAAACAGGGTTACATGTTTTATTTAATTAATGCAATTAATTGTCTCCTAATTCCTTACCACAATCAAGGCAACCTGTTGTTGCTTGCCACTCCGACAATGGGGCGAGCGAGCAATGAAGGATTTCCAGTGAGTGGTGGTGGCGGTCCAGTGGCGGAACTCATCCAAATCCTATAATGTATTTTTGTCCAATCACAAAAATAAGTTCTATTTATGAAATTTTAAACAGTAGATCATATTTTTAGAAAAATGAGCATAATTTGATCGGGAGAAATCAATATCAATTTTATTTTAACTGTAAATTTATATCACAAGTAACCAGATCCAACTGTTGAACACTTCGAGCCTGTTTGGTGACCCAATTTTTCGGCTTATCAACCAACTGTTTCAGTAAACACACAACTTTTGATTTCGCGAGCTGAATTGTGTAATGATAAGAAAAAGTAAGGTTGAAGTTACTTTTCTGACTGTATTGGTTGAAGTACTGTAGATGATCATTTTAGTTGTTATTTCATATAATATTTTCTTTATTTTAATAATAAATATAGGGAAAAGTACGGAAAAGGCACTTGTGGTTGGGCCCGTTTTCAGATAGGATCGTGTGTTTCATTCTTTACCAAAGTGATTCACGTGTTTGAATTCCGTTATCACAAGAGGGTCACGCCGTTAAAAAAGTTTGAAAAAGACCGTTAAAAGTCACTCCGATTTTCAAAAGTGCCCGAAACATTAAAAGAAAAATACCGAAAGGTGCGCCTCGTCAAGATGACCTCCAAACCACCTTCGTCTTTGGATTTTTCAGATCTGTTTGAATTATTTTTTAAAAATGATTTCGCTAACATCACTTTTCCGATGGACTTTTCGGTGACAAGGGTGGCTGAAAATAAAAAAGAAAGATGGCCTCGTGTTCGTCCTATTGAGGCGCACCTTCCAGTATTTTCCTTTTATTTTTTCGGGCACTTTTGAAAATCCGAGTTACTTTTAACGGTTTTTTCAGACGTTTTTAACGGCGTGACCCTCTTGTGATTACGGAATTCAAACACATGAACCACTTTGATAAAAAATGAAACACATGACCCTATCTGAAAACGAGCTCAACCACAAGTACTTTTTCCATATTTTTCCCTAAAATATATTTTAAATATACTTTTCATAAATCAGCAGAATGAGTCCATACAATCAATTTAACCAGAACTTTATAAATTTCAGCAGAATTAGTCAATACAGCCTATTTGGGTATTACCAAACGGGTTCTTCACTAATATTTGTAGTTTCAACTAACCTGGTCACTCTAAGACGTATTAAAACAGCTTTTTAAACCTTATAATTAAATAGATAGACTTCTTCCTGAATCCTGAAGCATACTTTAATTATTATAATTATCACGGAATATTTAAATAAATAAAAAAAGGGGAAAAGCATAAACAAAACAAAATGGGCATCCAAGTTGGTTCCCTCCATAATACTCCGAATTTATGTAGGGCTCGGCTCACTAGGCGCTGTTCTTCTGATAATATTGTAGAAAATGAAGAAGGGAATGAGAGAGATTTACTATTAGCATTCTTTCCCATTTTGCAGCTTAGAAAAACCAACCGACAGTGATTCAGACGCGGGTTAAGCATTTTCTTTCTGCAGTTGTTTTTCTTGGATTCCTTTTCCTCTTCTCTGCATTCTTGACCTGCCTCTGTAAAAATCTGATATTTGCGTCTTTCTTTAAGAATCAGCAAGAAAGGGTTATAAAAATGGCGTTGAGATATTTGTTGGGGTTTGCAATCTTGATTTTGTGGAGTTCATCATCACCATCTCCATCATTTATAGTGAGAGCTGAGGATCCATACAAATACTTCACTTGGATTGCCACTTATGGAACTGCTTCTCCCCTAGGCGTTCCTCAACAGGTATTGGAGTTCTTGGATTTTGGTTGTGGAATTATTTCTGTTATTGAAGAGTGTTGACGGATTTGAGATTGCAGGTGATACTTATAAATGGCCAATTTCCTGGCCCAAGGTTAGATTTAGTCACTAATGACAATATAATCCTCAACCTCATCAATAAGTTGGACCAGCCACTTCTCTTAACATGGTAACTGCCTTCTCTTTATAGTGTATTATTATATACTCCATTGTTAAAGACTGTATATTCTGATGAATCTTTCAAACTACTACACCTGAATCTTTCCACTATTGTTGTTGTTGTTGTTGTTGTTGTTGACATAAAGACTCTAATTATATCTCCTTAAGGTTTGGATAAATTACCATATGACCCTCAAGTATTTTTTGAAAATTACATCTGTCATGTTTTAACCAAACGACCCTTTTAACATTGCAAGACCAGAGAATATAATGGTATTAATAACAAGAATAGCCTGTGTATAGATTGAGAAAAATCTTTAGCATTAATGTTGCATTATTAAAAGATGTCATTTTATAGTAAAAACATTTAAAGATGTCACCTGAGAAAAATCTTTAGCATAAATGCTGAAGGCATTTTAGTCCAAAACTCAACTCTTACTACTATGTACTATCATAATTTCCTATGATCTTTCAATGTTGTTTATGGAAAGTTCAACTGGTCAAGGAATATACCTTGTGATTTTTGGAAACCTCAAGATCCATTTCGGAAATTTACCAACTCCAGTGCAGTAGATGTAAACATGCAATGAACCTTTTTTCTGACAAGTTTGCTTTGAAGGTTTAGACATAAAGAACTTTGGCATCTGAGTTTCCATCGGTTACGAGGATTAGCTTTAAATCTTATGTATTTGTTTAATTTTTATTTTTATGAGCCAATATCTTGCACACAAAGCTAAGTCAATCTGTTTTTAATATAGATTTAAGTGTTAATTAGTTTTAGATAATTGATTGGCACTGCATTTCATGTGACGACCGTTCAAAATGTATTCGAGATTAAGGAGCTCATGGTAGTGATGGTAATGACGTTTTTCTTTTGTTTTTGTTTTAACTTAAAACATTAGAAAATCAGTCAAATTGGTCAAACATCTTCTGCACAAGCAAGATAATGCTATTTATTTCTTCATGGCTAGATGGGATCAAATCAATTAGGACGGAGAATGACAGAAAACCATTTATACATTTGTAAAGGGTGAAGTGTAACTGAAGGTGTACTTATTATTTTAGGAACGGAATAAAGCAGAGGAAGAACTCTTGGCAAGATGGAGTTTTGGGGACTAATTGCCCCATTCCACCAAATTCAAACTACACATACAAGTTTCAAACCAAAGATCAGATTGGTAGCTATACATACTTCCCATCAACTTTCATGCAAAAATCTGCTGGAGGTTTTGGACCCCTCAATGTTTTTGCCAGATCAGTCATTCCGGTTCCCTATCTAAAACCTGAGGGAGACTTCAGTTTACTTATTGGAGATTGGTACAAGTCTAGTCACAAGGTTAGTGCATCACATTCTTCTTATAAATTATATAAGAACAGACTTACTACAATGACATGCAAGAAGTTGATTGTGTATGAGCCCCACATCAAAGAAGTATATATTAATTTTTTAAAGCATCACATAAGGACTTCAATGTAATTTTTGATGTACTACCAATTTGTAGTTTTCTACAACACACTTGTAGAACAAGTTTTTTTGTTCACACTGACAAGATGTTGCGTTATGGACCTTATGGTTTTATGTCTTTGAAAACAAACAGAATACATAAAGGCATCTTCACACATTTTTTTTTCTTAGGGACATAAAAAGATCATCATCATCATTTTCATTTACCCCAATGCCGCAAAGGCTCCCACCTACGGTGGGGTAAGGGGGGTCGGATGTACGCAGTCTTACCCCTGTACTAAAGCCCAGAGAGATTGTTTCCGGATGACCCATAGTGAAAATCGCGTCCAAAACTGCATGGACTGACTGCTACTCCATAACAAAGAAGCGCAGACAGTTTAGTGAGCCATTTTGCTTTATTCCATCATAATCTCAAGCCAAAAAATAATGAATCTTTGGCTCCATTGCAAATGATGGAAAAGGGACATAAAAAGATGCAAAGAAAAAATTGTTGTACGGAGTATGTATTAACAAAGATTTTGTTTACAAATGTGTTGTATTGAAAGCATTTTTCGTTATAAATTATAAAAGTATTGAAAACATTTATCTTCCGTATTAGGTTAATTAGTTTAAGATTTAGTAAATAGCATGCTTTACTAAAAACAGCATCTCTTGAAATTAGTATAAAAAAACTGCTTGACAGATCCCCCAAAAGTAATATTATGATGATCTCGTAAAACAAATCTTTGTGTTTTTTCTTCAATGTTATTTTTCTTTGTTGATCAAAGCAAGAAATTTGTAGCAATGCATTCTGATCTACTTGAGAAACCCAGTCATGAACACTGGAATCTGAGTCACCGGATTTAGATATTGAAATAATGATATATATATATATATATGCTTCATTGGTTGGTATTGAACAGGAATTACAGCAAATTTTGGATTTAGGAAAATCTCTGCCTTTCCCTGATGGCGTACTTGTAAACGGGCGGAGTCGGTCTACCTTCAATGTTATTCAAGGTTACCCTTGGCATGAAAAGCCCAAGTAATATTTATTGCTCGGTGAAAAATGTTTACACATTTTAATTACATTTCAGGTAAGACTTACATGTTCAGAATCTCAAATGTGGGGTTGTCAACTTCCATAAACTTCAGAATTCAAGGCCACAAAATGAAGTTAGTTGAGGTTGAAGGATCCCATGTTGTCCAGAATGTTTATGATACGCTGGATGTGCATGTCGGTCAATCTGTATCTGTTCTTGTCACTTTCGATCAGCCTCCAAAGGACTATTTCATCATTGCGTCGACACGGTTTACTGCACAGGTTCTTAGCTCGGGTTCTGTGCTGCACTACTCGAACTCTCTCTCAGCTGCTTCTGGGCCAATACCAGGTGCTCCGGCTGGCCAACTGGACTGGTCTATGGACCAAGCAAGAACATTTAGGTATCTTTCATTCACCTTTCTGCCATGTAGCCCTGCCCATTTGCAGTCTCGATGACCCCACACCCCATATTGTAGGCCTGTTTGCTAAAATCACTGAATGTGTGAATTTATTTTCAAAGAAAAATCATTTGGTAACATCTATTCAAACTAAGTATGTCAAAAGTTATTTATTCTAATTATATTATTTATTCTGTAAACTAAGCAAAAAAAACTCACATATACGGCATTGTACTATTCCTATTAGTTTGACTATTTTGAATGGAACCCTTAGTTTAATATGGTAACACAACGTATTCAACGAAGAACATACAAACTTAAAGATTAATCTTTTCTAATGAGCTACCCCCATTTTAAAGGACATCCAAGGCTTTAGGAATTTAGGTTAGTCCAGCTTTCGTGTTGAAAAATTTAAGATAACGCATCAAGTCATGATATTGTTACTAAAATGCAATGGAGCCAAAGATTCACTATTTTTTGGCTTGAGAATATGATGGAATAAAGCAAAATTGCTCACTAAACTGTCTGCGCTTCTTTATTGTGAAGCAACGGTCAATCCATTTATTTTTCGACGCGATTTTCACTATGGGTCATTCGGAAACAGTCTCTCTGCTTTAGTACAGGGGTAAGATTGCGTACATCCAACCCCCCTTACCCCACCGTAGGTGGGAGCCTTTGCGGCACTGGGGTGATGATGATGATGATCAAGTCATGATATTCTTACTAAATTATTTAATCTAATGGATTAGTTACTTCAATCCAAGGACAATGACTGTGGTGGTAGACCATAGACTTAAGTTACACTGCAATGGCCTAATCTATATGTCAATTTTTCTGTATTGAAGGTGGAATTTGACAGCAAATGCAGCAAGGCCCAACCCTCAAGGTTCTTTCCACTATGGAACAATTACTCCATCAACGACGATTGTGCTTGCCAACTCAGCACCAATGATTGGTGGGAGGCAGAGATACGCTGTCAATGGAGTGTCTTACATAGATCCTGACACCCCTCTGAAACTTGCAGACCACTTCAACATCCCCGGAGTGTTCAATCTTAATGCCATCAAGAGTTCTCCTTCTGCTGATGGTAGTATGTCTTCCGTTTTAGCTACAGCAGTGCTTCCCACTTCTCTCCATCAGTTCATTGAAATCGTGTTCCAAAATAACGAGGACACCATGCAGTCTTGGCACCTTGATGGCTACGATTTCTGGGTTGTCGGGTTAGTAACTCATCATTATTGCATATGAAAGAGAATAACGAATGACTACTAAATATACAATGCTTCTTATATGTAATACTTTCTGATGAGTTCCTAGATGAAATTGTTCACAGATTTGGCTTTGGAAAATGGAATGGAGCCAGTAGAAAGAATTACAATCTCATTGATGCCCTTACTAGACACACCACACAGGTAAAAAAAGGAGAAACATCTCAACAATATATTTATGATAGGTGTTTAATAAGTCATTTTACCAATCTAATATAAAACATTACACCTCCTATCAGACTTGGCCTTATAGGATTAAGACGAGATCAATTTTGCTTCGCTCAGACTAAGACTAATAAAATAACACACTGGAATGTTTGGTCTAAAAGAGCCTCTATCCTTACCCCTAGTCTCAAATAGGTGTTAGCTAAAGATATTAAACCAAACAAATATGCATTAGAGTATATTAAAATAATAATAATACAAACTAACATAAGAAGTATGTGATTTTGAGAATCTGTTCAAGACCATGCAAGACTACACTCAATTAGACTAGATTGGACATAACTAGATTAAAATAAATTAGACCTGACATGAACAAATTTAAACACCAACCTAGAAAAGAGTGGACTTAAAGACCAAACTAAACCTGACTTAATCAGTTCAAATCAGGCCAGAAATTCCAGTACAAAATGAATTGGTCTTAAGGTTTATTCCTACTAAGAGGTTAATATGACTTTTGGGATAGAATTCGAAGCTTTAATAATGAACAAACACTAGTAACATGTGAAAGTAAAGAAGGAGACGGTGTCATTTAATATATGTCCCCCTTTTTATATTTTTCTTCAGGTATATCCAAAATCATGGAGTGCAATATTGGTTTCCTTGGACAACCAAGGGATGTGGAATTTGAGGTCTGCATTGTGGGAAAGGCGGTACCTCGGACAGCAGCTGTATCTCAGGGTCTACAACTCAGTTCAGAATTTCGCTAATGAATATGATATGCCTTCCAATGCTCTACGGTGTGGCAGGGCTGTTGGCCGACCACATCCTTTGAGTGATGATCATAGTCTTTCTTTGGGCGACCAATCATGATTTTTTTGTTCTTGAATATCTTTTATATCTGTAATTTGTATATCTCAAACACCGAGCAATTGTTAAAACTCAATTGATTTTCCTCCTCTGGGATCATTAAGTTATGTAATATCTTTGTCTGTGCTTATATAATGAGAGCCAAGGATGGTTAACTGGTCATTTTTCCGTTTACGCATTTAACGAAATCAGTTAAAGTTAACAGGGGAGGCGACGGATCTTCAACTTACGTGTCCTTTCTGTTCCGGAGTCAATAAACATCAGTCGAAGTTTGAAGGACTGCTCAAGAAGAGTAAGTTCTTCCTCCTCTATCATTTTGATTTGCTAAAAACTCTGTACATCTGGGATTCTCTTCTCCTCCCCTCTTTAAATTTCATGCTTCTTTTGGTGCAGTACTTTAACATACTCAAATCTCCCAAACAAACATGCGTTTGGGCCAGAACAAATACTAATCATATCACTGAATTGATCTAATACGTACACGGTACCGGTTTTTTCATTTTTTCAAACGCCGCTCGCCCGCTCTATGAGATAATTTTGGAGGATATTAAGGGTCTGTTTACTAATAGAGATATTTTCCATTTTTCTATTTCAGTTCTTGAATTTTTCGTTTCCATTTTTCAGTTTTTCTATCTCCAATTTTCTGTTTTCATTTTTTAGTTTTCCATTTTGAAATCTGAAAACATGTTCATCAAATTTTTTCACCCGGTTCTGTGACCCACCTGAAGACCGAAAGTACGGTCCCATTCCGAAATCAAACCTAGTACAACCCAAGTAAGGTACCAGGTCCCACATATAGGCAAGTCAACGGTTAGTTTAAAGAATTCTTTTCTCATTTCCCTATTAGTGGACAACTCAACGACACTTTTAAAATTCTTTACTTTAAAAATACGTTTTTCGTTTTCCTTTTTCCTTTTTTCTAGTTTTCTGAAAAATTGGAAAATATTTTTGTTATTAAACGGGCCCTAAGTGTCCGTCTTTATGGTATTCCAATTATTCTTTGCGCCTACATATTGTTCGGTAAAATGCTTCTTCTAGTAGTCCATAACATTATTTATTAAAATTCTTACTTCGGCAAAATTCTTACTTAGCGGCTTAGCGCCTACATTCATTGTGAAATTGCAACATAGCTTCACACACATAATTATTATACTAAGTTTAATCTCATGTAATTTTATAACATCGTATTCACAACCTTATACTCCCTCCGTCCCATATAACTTTGCCAACTTTCCTTTTTGGTTGTCCCAAAAACTTTGCCACTCTCCTTTTTAATCAATCAATTTGTGACCCCTGTTATTTCTCTCTCCTCTGTACAAATATCTACCACACAGTTTTTACTTTATTATTCTATGTGCCGGTCAAACTTGACAATCCTTTTAGGGACGGAGGGAGTAGTTCTTTATAATCCTCATTTATGTCAATACCATCTTTGTCAACCGACTCAACACCAGATTTTTTTAATAATTAACCCTACATAAAATCAAAACAATTGACCTTATATAGGGAGCGGTTCCGGTAAGAAATGAGAATGAATCTGGACCGTTAGATTTGATTTAAGTGAAATTCAATGTGCATTAGATGAAATCGTAATGTGCATTAGGTGAAATTGAAATGTGCAACACAAATGGTACGATACAGTGACATTATGTGAAGCTGAATTGTGCATTAGGTGAAATTGAAATGTGCATCAGGTGAAACTGAAATGTGCAGAATAAAAGGTACGATGTGATGTTATTTTTGTACCTTTAATTCCGCACATTTCAGTTTCACCTAATGCACACTTGGGTTTAAATTTTTATTCTGCACATTTCAATATCATCTGATGCACATTTCAGTTTCACCAAGTGCACAATCCAGATCGACATAAAACAATCCAACGGTCCAGATTCGTTCTCATTTCTCTCATGGGAGTCCGTTCTTACTGGAACCGCTCCCTATATATATATATATATATATATATATATATATATATATATATATATATACACACACATACATACATACATACACACACACACATATATATATGTATATATATATATTAAAAGAAAAAAAATCACTGCAGGGGCTAGTGCACCCCCAAGCACCCCTCTACTTCCGCCACTTACTGGAGGGTGTTCTTAAATGCTCAATGTCTAAAAGTCTTCAAAAGAAGGATATTTTTAATATGATATTCACATTCAAGAAGTTTTTGCATTTCTCTCAAAGTTGATAGAAGTAGAGGGTGTTTTCCATTATTTTAAACTTCTTAACACATTGTTTCATTTATTTTTCTTTAGGATAAAATTTTGGGTATGCTCATTTCTACATCTTTTCACATCAATGAAGCTTGCACTTTTAAATAGACAAATGCCCATTTTGGTTATCTTTTTTACTTTCATGGAATAGTGGGTGAAAGCCTGGAACAATGAGGGTCTGTTTACTAATAGAGATATTTTCCAGTTTTCTATTTATGTTTTCCGTTCTCCAATCTTCTGTTTTCATTTTCCTCTTTATCTCTCTCCAATTTTTTGTTTTCATTTTTTAGTTTTCCATTTTCAAATCTAAAAACATGTTCATACAATTTTTTCACCTGGTTCTGTGACCGATCAAAAAACCGAAAATACAGTCCCAGTCCGGAACCAAACCTAGTACAATCCAAGTAGGGTATTGGGCCCCATGTATAGGAAAGTAGGGACCGAAACCGGCCGGTCCTAGTCGATCTCAACAGTTAGTTTGATGAATTCTTTTATCATTTCCCTATTGGTTGACAAATCAACAATTGTTTTAAAATTCTTCACCTTAAAAAATGATTTCGAATATCGAGACTGAACTATCGGTTCATTAACCGGCCTTTACAGGACTGCTGGTTGTTTACGGGACTGGCCTGGGACCGCTTGGTCGATTGGACCAAACACAGAACGTCAAGTCATTTGTCAAACAGGATGCGGACTGCTGGGTTGTTGATCGAACAGGACGAGGACCGCCGGTCGTTTACGGGACTGGCTTGGGACCGCTCAGTTGTCGATCAGACAAAACACAGACCGTCAGGTCATTTGTCAAACAGGATGGGGACCGCTGGGTCGTCGATCAGACAGGACACGGACCACCGGGAGGTTGAACGGACAGGACATAGTCTGTTAGGTCATTGACTGGACCGGACGGGGACAACCGAGTCATTGACTATGTCACGCCTCGGACCAAATCCGGGCCAAGTAGACAACCGCCGTACAACCCAATAAAGATAACAACCGTTCATATCTAATGAATCATACAAGGCGTCCGATAGATTCTATTCTCAAACCGATTAGTAAACACATACAATCAACATCAATATCATAATCAAACAAATGCGGAAATAGTATGTTTGAAAATTAGCCACAAGTGGCAAACACGGGCACGCAGGCCCCCAAATGGTTTAATAGAAATCATTGTTCAAAAAAATATCCATGAGCAGAATTGTAACTTCAAATCGAAATGGGAAGCACAAACCATGTCTTCCTTATTGATGATCACCCTAGGCAAAGGTGCAGGTAGTATGACTTTAGCCTTAACCTGAAAATAGTGAGGGCCCCCAAAGGGGTCAGTACTTCACAGAAAGAAGTACTAATGACAAGGAGGCTATATGAAGAATAACTAATGTTTCAGACACGAGACCCATAAATAGGGTGATACATATATATAGCTGTAACTCATCCACCCGATGATACATACTGTATATATACGTGTAAAATACTTAACCCGTAGGTCATTACCTTAAAGAGTCTTTTAGAGATAAAGTTCTTGCCTGACTTTTCTCACTCCTTTCCCGGATACCTAGCTCATAAACTATAATCTACCTTTGATTCATACTACCGAGTGTTTTAGGATCATTTACCATCCAAGGCACTCAACCCAATCTGGAGTATTTAGGATCATTTACCGTCCCGGGGATACTCAACCCCAACCGAGTTTCAGGATCATTTACCGTCCTGGGGATGCTCAACCCCAACCGAGTTTCAGGATCATTTACCGTCCTGGGGATGCTCAACCCCAACCGAGTTTCAGGATCATTTACCGTCCTGGGGATGCTCAACCCCAACCTTATTCCTTACCAAACCCTAACCTGGATATGGCTAATCTTTCATTCCTTTAAGTATGGACAATACCTAGCCCTATAGTCATATAACAATCCCTAGTAATCAACGTGGACGGGTCCAACCTGAACGGCCCACGTTAACCCACTCAAAACTGCCTGTTTTGAGCACAACTCAATACCCGGTCGGGTATCCAACCTTACCCGGTCGGGTATGGTGAGGCAGTAGCCCCTGGAGCCAAATTTAGTTTATACCCGGTCGGGTATATACTCATACCCGGTCGGGTCTAGTGTGGCAGTGGCTTCTGGAGTCATTTTTAATCAATACCTTGTCGGGTATTCACGCATACCCGGTCGGGTATTACAAAAGTATTGATGGGAAGGAGTTTGGCTATGGGAGAATGGAGTTGTAGAGCTTCCTTTCCTCTTTTCCTTGGTCTTGGCCGAGCTAGTGAGAGGGGGATGGGTAGGAATACTCTTTTTGGGTCATTTGAGCAATGAGTGATGGGAAGGAGGCCCCCCATGTTTTGTTTTGATGCCAAACATCTCAAATCAACTCCTTCTCACCTCACACCCATTTCCCACGCCTCCCAGCTCACTTTGACGAGATTATTTCGTGGGTTGGCCCCACTCACGTGGGAGGTCATCCCTTCTTGTCCTGAAGTGTACAATCAGCCCCAAAAGTTGTATTTCTCGAGCTGTTTTAATTATATTTTATTTTATCGGGTCAAATAAAATATAACACATGTTATCAATCCTTATTGGACCTTAGGACGAATATACCTTTCCTATATTTAATTTAGAAGTCTCCGAGATTCCTTTTTTTTCGGGTTGTTATCTGATAAATTGCCGATACTGATAATTGGGCCTCGTTTGACCAACCGGTCAACCCCATGCCTTTGCCACGACCCAATTAGGATATTGTTGGTCCCGGTTGTACTGGATACAGTCTAGAGAGGGGTGGGGGGTGAATAGACTGTATTAGTTTTTAATTTTTTCAAGCTAAATACCAGATTTAACAGAATAGCCTGTTCTGTTGACAGAACATACTGACATCGGATGGGGTTCTGGTAGGGGTTCTGTTCGATTAGCCTCAGAGAAGCAA